CCTATATTGTAGGGCTCTAGTTATTAGCCTAAGCGACAGTCTCGTTATCCTATCTTACTAAACATAGCTACCTATATTGCTATAGGTTATATTACCCTCGGTAGCCTGTACTATTGCTATAAGTGGTAGTAGTAGTGTTAGTTTCCGTCCTTTAGTATCTATTAATATTGCGTAGCTAGGGCCTAGTATAATAATCGCTCTATAGTACTCTCGCGCCCGCTCGCGGCGGACTCGCAACCCTTTAGGATTTAGTAAGCAAGCTATACGATATAGCCGATCTCTGCTAATAATATTGTATTTAGACCTAATATAGGTATATAGGTGCCGTCGGCCGAAGGACTCTACTATAGACTTCTCGAGCTCTTCCTATAAGATCTCTACTATCTCCTCTTCTACTTCTATCTATCTATCTCGCGATAATACCTTCTTTAATCTAAGCTCTTAACGTATCCGTTAATATCTCCGCTAGCTAATATTAAATCTATCTATCTTTAGTACTTTAACTGCTTCTTTATTAGTTAAGCGTAAAGCGGAGAAGGTATATACGACTCGGATTTTTAGTGCCTCGATATTATTAACTTAGTTATAGTAAGCGTAATAGCTATAATTAACCCCTTATTCCTTAAGCCTCCGACAAAGCGTAGAAAGAGCTATCTAGTAACTAGTCTCTTATATAAGGTGCTATAGGATTTCGCCTTATATAGTGCCGCTATTAACTTATAAGGTTATCTAAGCCCTCTATAGCGAGAGATCGATATATAGAGGCATTTTGCGAGTTAATAGCGAGTATAGTACGAGGGCAAACATAGAAAGTTAGTCGTAGAGGTAGGCTAGTAGAGGAGGCGGTAAGAACCTCTATTAACAATCTAGTATATATAGGCCTCCCTAGTTATAGCGCTAACTTTAGAATCCTGCTAATTATTTGCTTAGCGGAGCAGAGTATAGGATCCTTCCGAGCGTAACCCGAACACGATATTGCTATTTAGCTAGATAAAGTCGATTATAGTAGAGTTAGCCTACTTAGGAGCGACAAAGTTAACATTCCTCTAGGCTCCGGGTCTAACTTCGGAAGGCAGCACCTATGTCGACCTTAATAAAGACAATTTCTAGTATATACATTCGTGTTTGAACTCTAAGTATATCTCTCTAACTAGTTATACTACTGCAACTACAATAGAGTCCTTTACTACTCTATAGACAATCGATATTATCCTCGCTATAATTTACGAGCCGGGCGACCTCTAGCACCTTCTAGAGCGTAGCGGAGGTTAGGTAACTAGGGGGAGTACGGTCGTAGATTATCCCTTTGAAATTTCGACGGCTAAGAGCGTTTATATATAAGCCCCTATTAGATAAGGGCCTATAGGACGCGCTTTGCTATAGATAGCATAGTAGATTATCGCTTGCTAGGCTAGTATTAGGGATAGCGCTATAGCATTTTTCTATACTCTATAACCGGCTCTTTTTTAACTCGCTAGTTATCCGATTAACTTCGAGCCTCGAAGGCTAATATTAACCGCTCTTTTATGTAAATAGCTTCTTAGTATTTCGACGACGACAACGGCGACGATAGACACTAGTCCGATATTAATAATAATGCCGTATACGACGTTAGTGCCTTCGGAGTAGAACCGGAAGAGGAAATAGACGAGATTGCGGCGTAGGAGGTAGTTGCTAGTTGCGAGGCTATTCGAGCGAGTTGTAGTACAGAATACGAGCTAGGTAGGCGAGATAATAAGCCTCTCGTTACTAGCGATATTGTTAACAGTATAGCGGTTAATAAGGCGCCGCTAGACGTTAGGAACCTAGTATAGGCACCGGATTAGTCGAGGGTAATAGATAGAGTAAAGTACTTGCCTTTACGAGGTATTTAGTACGAGCTAGAGGTGCACCTACCTCTAAATAAGCGCTTCTTCGAGGGTATAGATTGCCGTAACAAGTCCTTCGAGAAATTAACCTCTAAGGACGTATTTAATATACCGAAGCGCTTCTTCTAATAGCTATAGATTAATAAGATCTATAAGAAGTTAGTATACTATATAAACGAGTATGCTCGAGAGCCTAGGTTTAAGAAGATAAATACTAGGACTAGAGTAATTAAAACGGTAGTTTCTAGTACGAAGTAGACGAAGGCGTACCTATATAAGATAAAGATCTTCGTAGGAATAATTATCTATATATTAGCTATTCAAATAGACGATAAATCGGATTATTAGCGGACTAATAGATACTAGCCTTCTTATAATATTACTAAGAACATGTCCGAGAAGCGATTTAGGTAGTTAAAGGCGTATCTGTAGTATAGTAAGCCCGTCGAGTCGAGCAAAGGCAATCCGCTATAGTTATAGGTTTAGTAGTTAGCTAATTAGTTAAGGGTTCAAATGCGGAAGATTTATACACCTAGTACTAACGTAAGCCTTAACGAGGTGCTCGTTCGCTTTACTAGACGCTCTTCGTATATAATAATAATAAAGGGCAAGCTATGCCCTATCGGTTATTACGTGCTAGCTATGTGTTATACTGGTTTTATCGTTAGTTAGTTATTCTCGAGTCCGACTAAGAAATAGGGCTTCGAGAAGGTTAGGATACCGGTTAGCTTCGATAGACTAGTTCTTGTCGAAGAAGAGCTCTCTAAGTAGTAAAGAAAACAGCGCTCTTAGCGTAGCCGTCGCAGTAGCAAAGCCGATAGTTAAATAGGTAGAATAAAGCGTAGAAGGGCGGCGAATATTAGTAAAGGTAAAGAGGTTAACCTACCGCTAAGCCTTTATAAGCAAGCCGATCTTTACGCGAAGCTACTAGCGGTTACAACCGGACTAACTATAGTAGCGTAGCCGCTAGTTAACCTAAAGTCTTAGTTGTCTAGGCTTTATAAGGCGGTCCTATCTCTTCTACTATAACTGCCCTTCTAACGACGATTCTACTACATTTACTTAGACAATCTATTTAATAATATACCTCTCTTTGCTATTCTACAGTAGTATAGTATTGCTGCTACGGGTACGGTACGTATAGGCTCGAAAAGCTAGCCGTAGGCTAGTACTTCGTTCTCTACGTATTTAGGCAAGACTATTAATCTATATCGCAAGTCGACGCGCTTTCCCTTTAATACGGTACTTTGTAGGGCAATTTACAACGTAGCGGCACTAATCTAGCAGGACAGAAATCTCGTTCAAATGCTTACTACCGGATACTAGCTAGTCGACCGAGAATCGAGAAAGAGATAGAAGCCGAGGGATACTAATACCTATATTCGCAACTACGTACGCCTATACTAGATAGAGGGCATTAAGGACAAGCATATACCGAAATACGCTGCTTATTACAATAACTATATAGGTAGCGTAGATATACACGACTAGCTACGGTTCTATTATAGCACTTAGTATAAGGCCTTTAAGCTATAGTACCCGCTATTTTACTTCCTCCTCGACGTAGCCGTAATTAACTCCTACCTTATATACCGCAATAGAGCAACTACTAACGCTATTCGAGACCTAATACTAATAAGCTAGCGCGACTATCGTATGCGACTTACTTAGAACCTAGTTTAAGAAGGTGTAGCTATATTATAGCCTATTCGAATAGCTAAACGAGAAGCGGCAATAGCTATCGTAAGAAGCCTTCCTCGTACGCCGGAGGGGCGATTTATAGGTAGACACTCTTACTCTAATTACAATACTAGCTTACCTCGTCTACGCTGCTACTACTTTAAACAAGGCGACTTACTACTAGACAAGGTACTACGGCTTAACCGCAGCTACAACTATATAATAACGGTTACTCTTATAAAGCTAAAGAAGTGCTAGCTCTATAGGTTTATAAGGACTAGCTAGCGGCTTAAGTAGTAGCCTATTATACTATAAGGTAGACGAGAATACGACGCCTCGAAGACCTACCTTAATTGCGGACCTAAATACAACCTATATAATACCTGTTAGTTTAACTAGTATAATATAGCCGACTTAAAGGCCTATCGAGTTGCTTAGAAGCTATTGTTTGCTAATAAGCGACTATTAACGGCTTCTTCTTCTACGAGCTTAGTTATTGCCTCTTCTACGAGTACTTTAGCTATTGCAACGCCGGCTCGAAGGCCTTCTACTAAGCCTATAACAATAACGATAATAATACCTTTAGCTCCTTTACTTCCTTCCTTAAATCTACTACCTTAGTCGCTAGCTTATTAAACTCGGTGCCGCTAATAACCTCTTCCTCGCTTTAAGAGCCTTCTATAGGAGGCTCTTCCTTTACCTTAACCTTACTATAAGCAGTAACGGCTTATTACTATTACTATACGTTTAAATCTACCCTTAAGTCTTTTACCTATACTTCTACCTTGTCGAGGCGCTCTATAATAGCCTTCTATTAATCGCTAGTAGTCGATAATCGCTACTTTAATAGACTCCGTAGCGGTACTAGTTGCTATACCTCGTCTATAGTTAATTTAATACCTTTCGAGTAGAGCCTATAGCGCTAACGAGACTCTTCCTTAGTACGTAAGTGCGTACGTAGCTATATTATATAAGTTAGTATGCCTATGTCTATATTCTATAGGTCTATATCTATAAACTAGTCTCTTTAGTATACTTAGCGGCATTGTATTTCTTTACTTGCTTAGGTTTAACTAGTAAAGTCAATCTCTAAGGTTGCTAGCGGTACCCTCGTTGCTAACCTTGATTAATACCCTAGCCGGAGCGAGGTCGGCTATAGGTGTAGACCCAATCGGCGTTCGACACGCTACCAAAGTTTGCATAGAAAGTGGAACCATTAGTGGGACCGGTTCGCCAAGAATCTCCGGTATGACCTTCAAAGGGATGCTACGTTGGCTGTGTCAATTTCTTGGCGCAATCTGATTGGTAGAAATCAAAATGCTGGATACCTGAGGCCTGAATTTTGACTTCACAACATACAACACCTCTATACTGTAGCAATGTCAAAGGACTGCGGCCGAGACCGTGAAGCCGACCTTCAGCATACAGTAGATAGCATGGATATTAGTCCGAATGAAGTTTAGCCTCATGCCACGTAGTCATAATCCACGACCGCCGGCTCGTGACACTTTGGATGCTGCGCAGCGATCCAACAGCACATTTTTTCAGCTCTTGGTGTATACCTCTACAACGCAGCACGACCGAAGCCTCCAGCCGGAATACTCCAGCATCCGCCAAGTGCCTCCTCGGCGATGGACCTGACCTGTTCAAATGGGCCGCCGAACATGGCAGTCCCTACGATTACCTCCCAGAAATGATCAAGAAACTAGACTCTCCTATCGTACAGGTATTCTTGAGGCCATTTGGTAGACCATGGATCATCGTCGCCGACCCATACGAAGCCCACGACATTCGCACCAGAAGATTCAAGGAGTTCGATGGATCCAATTTCTTTGGGGAAACGTTTGTGACGCTTCTCCCCAAAATGCATGTTCATATGCCGCCGACTGGAGAAGAATGGAAGTCTCATCGAAAGCTGATCGCTGATACCATGTCGCCCGCATTAGTTCTAACTCAGCTCAGTGGCCGGACCCCAAATGTGGCAGTCGACGCAAAACATCATTGCACTTTGGCGTCGGAAGGCCGAGCTGGCGCAAGGCAGACCATTTGACGCGAACAAGGATATCTTGAAAGGTGCTCTGGACATAGTGGTAGGCGCAAATGGCCGCGAAAGAGAATCGTGCAGCGCAATACATTTCCGGAGCAAATCTGACAGAACTACATATACATGCTGCCCTTCAGTCTATAGGTCCATCCATCATCATCAACAAGCTTCAGGAGCAGCGCGGTATCGTTGCGTGCCAGCGAACGAACGCGATTCTTGTCATCATGTCTCCCGCACTCGGCATCTTTCCGGTCCTGTTCTTGCTTCTTGATGCCGCCGAAGGGAGATTTTGACGCCGGGAGTTTGGGAGTTATGACTCGCTGAACTACTATTCTTGCTCCAGATGATGGACCCACAATAGAGGGCGAAGCTGAAGAGTTTCGAGCTGAAGGAGTATTAGTCGAATAGAATATCGTGCCTGAAGTCTCGAAGACGAAGAAGAAAAAAAAATGCTGGGATGTCATCGCACGTCAGAATCGCCTAAATATTGCTGCACTACTGTACTGTTTGTTGTTATCTCAAAGCTTTCATCTTCGCATAGTACCATCTCGAGATTTTAATGCCAGGGATGTCGCACGTCCGAGTGACCACCTCAGCGACGTAGAGCATAACAGGCAAGCTCAACACTACGCAAAAGAGGTAGTTTGGCTCCATAGCATACGGACCACCATCGGGCAAGAACCACCAGCTAGCGTCCTTCCACTTATTCTGGAGGTGTCCGAAACGTTTGATATCGTCATCGTTCGAGGGGATCTTGACGCCCGTCAGGTAGAAGAGGCGATCGGAGAGGAGACCGATCATTGGACCGTGGACCAGGTAAAGGGAGAAAGAGTGTCTTCCAAGATCTGTAGGTTGGGTTAGCAAGGATTCTGATAGTGATGCTTCTTCGGAACTTACACTGTGCCACGCCGGTCTCGAAGAGCCATCTAACCCATGGAATCTCCTTGACCGAGACCAAAAGCATCCATGCGGCCCAGAACAACCAGAACCATCGATAAGTGGTGTTGCCTTCTTTGTATGAGTCGGGAATAAATTTCATCAGAGTGCCCCACGCGCCGCATTTCCCGAGCACCTCCTCCATTTTCTCCGAGTCAGAAGACGGCTGACTGGCCAGCCAAAGCCCAGAAACCAGCATAAGGTGCATCAGAATGACCTTCAAGACTCGTCTCCGCTTGAAGAATCTGAAAATAGGGTCCCAAGGGAGGGATACGTGGAGGTTACTTGCTGAGAGTAGGTCCAGCTCTGCAGTAAGCATACCTGCAAAGAAGGCTCCATACCAAGCGCCTGCTGCTCCAAGGACCCAGTACAAAGTCATTGCGAATGTCAACAGGATGCGGGATCGCGTGCCGACTTGATGCGTGCAGAAGAGCCAGACAAACAGGGTCAAAGATCCTCGCAGTTCGACGGGAATGGTCCAAGTGTGCACGTTGTAGTATGTGAAGAGAAAGCCGCCTCGGAAGAAGTAGGTAAACTTCATTTGGTCCTTCCACCACGCCCATAATTCCCAAAAGATGTTCGACTGGTGCTCGGGAAATGCGGTCGTAATGCCTGTAATGTGCCAGAAGAAGGCGAGCATCAAGGTACTGAACCAAACTGGAATGAAAAGGCGTCCCATTCGGCGCACCATGGCGGCATTGAGTGCTTCGATGAAATCGTCTCGTCGTCCTTCATGGAGAAGACCAATCAATCTTCGGGGGACGACGTATCCAGAAATCGTGAAGAACAGGATGACCATGAAGTGGCCTCCAGTGAAGGGAAGACGAAGGATTGGCCATGCTGCGGGAGATGTGTTGAATGTCTGCCACCAGTATGCAGCACCATAGCAGAGTTCCAGTCCCTGGTGTGTGAAGACCGACAAGTGCATGATGCAAACGCAAAACGCAGCAACTCCGCGAAGGCCATCCAGCCATGCCGTCGGGCCTGGTCTCTTGCCGCTGCCTGGAGGCCTCTTCTCGAAGCACTCTGGCTTCAGGACGGACCAGATGCCGGACCAGGCATTTCGGATGGAAAAATTGCGAATGGCATTTCGGGCAGAAGCGGGTGCTGGTGGTGGCTTCTCATCGATCAATCCGCTCAGCAGACCCAGCTGCTGGTCTGTGTTGTGCGCCATGCTGTCGCGAAGTCCTGGCTACGATTCCGGGCAGGCCAGATCCATGGACTGGATCGCACGGTGAAGAAGGCGTTGTTGAAGCAGAAATGCAAGGACGAGAGTAGAGTTTGCCCGTCGATGCCTGCCACTGCCACTACCGACGGAACCTCGGCGATGAACCGTGGCGCTGACATGGGCACTGTGGCACGCGTGTGGAGATCGGCCACTTGCCTGGAATAGGAGACGCGACGCCATCCAGAGAGATGCTTGGCTGGACGATGGTTCCATACGAAGTTCGTCGGAGTCGGACCGTTCCTAGAAGTCTGCATTTCTGTCGTGAGAATATCGGCAGCCCGGAAGTAGTCTGGACCAAGGACTCCTTGGACACCCGCTGGTCCTCATTCACTCGCAGCAGCCGGAGTATTGATCTCGCATCGACACTGCCCGCTTCTCACTTGTAACAATCATTGGTTCACCAGCAACAACCGCTTCGTCGCCCTGCTGCTTGCCAAGATCGGACTTGCACTAGCTGCAGCAGCTTCTCGGCGAACCAGCGACCGCCCAAGCGGCCAAGGTAGTCGTCAAATGCAGGGACGAAGTCGTCTGTATATCGCGGCCAAGGAACAATGCGCGAGACTAAGGCCGCCTGCACTCGGACCAGCAAACCCTCTCTTTTGTTGTAGAATATGAGCACTCTGATGAAGTGGTGTTGTGCCTTCAAAAGTTCAAAGCCTGGCTGCTCAACATTGAACAAGACTTCGGGCCGACTTACTTAGTCAGCATTGTTTCGTCCAATCTCGCTCTCATCTCCGTTGGAGTCGACGCAGATATCGACTTCTGCTCACAGAAAATAATAACAGCACCCAACACCTTCACCCACCACTAACTTCAAACATCATGGCAGATCTCAAGTCTCGGAAGATCTCCTTCATTGGTAGGTCGCCGTGTGCTCATCCCTTCTCTCATCAATAATCCCTCTCTGTGTCCTCATCAGCCTCAGCTCCACACGTATTATCTCAACTATCTAGGTAAGTGCAATTGCTGATATGACATGCAACAGGAGGTGGCAATATGGCTGCTGCCATCATATCGGGTCTGGTGTCCAAAGGATTCGAGAAGAAGCAGGTCACAGTCTCGGAGCCATGGGACGTCAACCGACAGAAGATGGCAGATCTTGGAGTCAACACCACAGCAAACAACACTGAAGCAGCGACCGGCGCAGATATCATCATCCTGGCCATCAAACCTCAAGTGGCCAAGACAGTGTGCCAAGAACTTGCCGCATCCGCTTTCTCATCTGCAAATCCTCAGCCTTTGGTCGTGTCCATTGCCGCAGGCATAACAAGCGCAAGTCTGAAGGACTGGTGCCGGACCAAGGAAGGAAACAGCCCGGCCATCGTCCGCGTCATGCCCAACACTCCTGCTCTACTCGGGGAAGGTGCGAGCGGTCTATATGCTGAGAAAGACGTTTCAGAGAAGCAGAAGGCTTTGGCTACTGCTTTGCTTCAGAGCGTGAGCCGAGCGATCGAATGGGTAGAAAAGGAAGAGCTACTGGATGTAGTGACTGGACTCTCCGGCTCCGGGCCCGCCTACTTCTTCGCCATGGTCGAACATCTTGTCGCAAGTGCTACCAAGCTCGGCCTTTCCGAGGAACAGGCTACGAGGCTTGCCACGCAGACATGTCTCGGCGCCGGGAAGATGCTTGTGGAGGGCAAGGACTCTCCTTCCCAGCTCCGAAAGAATGTCACAAGCCCGAACGGTACAACTCAGGCTGGTCTGGAGAGCTTCGAGGCCTCTGGCTTTGCAGCGATTGTCGACAAGGCTGTAAAGGCTGCTACCGAAAGAGGAGAGGAGCTCGGCCGAACTTTAGGCAATCAATAGACGAAAAGTATGAAAGATTCGATCCCCTTGTATTCGCGTCCGAGGAGCGGCGATCAGCATGTATCGAGAAGCAAGGCGGTCATATGCGTTGATGTGGAGCCCCGCAGCGCGCGGCGTTCTAAAAGTTATAATACCTACAGCGACCAGACAAGATGCCACTTTTGATCAGCGAAATCCCCACAGCGTGTCAGTGTAAGCCTCGGTATGGTAATAGTAAAGAGTGAACTAGATCCAGATCATATCGCGGGTCCCATCCTCAGAATCGAGGTATTCTAAGTTTAGCGTAGATTTCGCTACAGTACAAATGCATCTCGGACTCCGAGAGACGAACCCTTTCGGGACCGCATTCAGATTCCCTTGCCCTGCACGATCTTGCCATAGGTACGATCTTACAGGCATTCCTAGAATGCTCGCCAGGTAGACCTAGATGAACAGGATGTTCGCAGCCGAATGATGAACAATAATCTCTGCGCGCTGACGATACTTCTCACCTCACACACATACAAAAAAAAAACAAAACCTCGGGCCCCGAACAGCTTTTCTTCGCGACCGCTTCCATCCTCACAGATTGGTCGCTGCCATTCGGACGCTACTGGATTGTCAAGTTTTCGGACTCCGAACCAGAACGGGCCCGAGCAAAGCACCATCGAAACGTTTCGGCGATCTGGATGGTGTGTGGTTGCGATTCAAGGGTTTGATTCGTGGTTAGTAGACGTGCGCTAGTGGATGGCTTCGTCGTTCGGGTTTCGGACTGCAGATGCGTGCTTCGGGTCCTACGTTTGGACTTTTTATTTGTACGACCGCCATCGCTTTGTTGGGTTTGAGATACATGATATAGTGCTTTGTGTGATGGGCGGGTTGACTGCTGGGCTGCTAAGTATGCTGCCACTGGACGATGCTTTGGCGCTGAAGCGACGCAAAACCGCGTGTCCGACGACACCATCCGTACGAACGAACGAACCTCGCACCGCTGAACGCTTTCCCGAAGCTTCTTCATTGTTCTGCGGACAGTGGTCGCATTGCGCCGTATGAAGAAGACATGGCACATTCGTGCCGCGCAAGACCTTTCCAGGCTCAATACCGCCGTTGAAGGTAGAGGGAGGATATCAAGCAGCACATTCGGACACCATGGGGATTACGAATACAGACACGGTCAATTGGACAGCCACCGCTATGCTTCCGCGGAAGACATAGACGTGGCGGAGCTCTCCTGGCTTGGCGGATGGGCACACGACATCATCGTCGCCCAGGCTTGGCAGGGCTGCCGAGACCTAGCCAGGCCTTGGTTTGCCTCCCTCCAGCACAATCTCGCGATCATGACGATGAACATCAAGACAAGCCATTGCCATGGCTCTCGGCGTTGCAAATACTGCAATGCTATCTCGTGTCTTCGCGTGCCTCAACAACGTGGTCGATATGCAAGCGCGGGAGGATGATGCATTCCAGGCACGTTCCAAGAGTCTAGAGGCCTTGTCATTCATCAAATGCTAGGAAGTCGAGTGAGGTAAGTACGTCAAGGCGAGAGACACATGGATATATAATGTTCTTCCTGCCACCCCTGTAGTGTTCTTCTTAACGACATCAAGCAACAATCCGAACCTCGAACAGATACATGAACAACACTATCCTCGAAGCATTGCCATACACACCAAGCACCATGACTCTTCAAAACACCACAATCAGCGATAACAACATGGGCTGTGAGTGCCACCAACGACTGCAACCTACTTCCCAAACCAGTCACCAGCAAACACAAATCTCCAACGGCGACCTGACTGTGCATGCAGCCGAGACATTCCCCAGCTACAGCACATCTCAAACCTCAACCCCAACAACGAAGCAATCAGACTCCCCCACAAACACCCCCTACAACAGCATTTCCTCAACAAACGCAAGCACCCAGCAAGTCGCCCACGCAGAGTCCACCACCAACGACGAATCCAACGGAGTCTCAGACCACACAGAACGCCGCCGAGGCTCAAGAGCCAACGGGCTAAGCGCAGGAAGTTCTGCGGCAAGGAGTCGCTCAAGAGGCGCGTGGGGTGAACATCGCATGGCCAAGGACGAGAAGGTTTGGGCTCAGGATAAGGAGCGGAAACATGGGAAGCTGTTTGAGAGGATTTTCGATCATAAGCTTGCGCCGGAGTTTTTGAAGTAGGGGGGAAGGTTTTGTGGGGGATGGGGGATGGAGGAGGTGGGGAGGGGATTTGTTTGTGAAGTAGGCGGGACGTCTCTAGGAAAGATACAGGAGGCAAGGAGGAGGACGGATCTGTGACGGTATTAGCGATAGTGTAGCATAGGGCACTTAATCTTGGCTTGCTTCTTTGGGCAGGGGTTCCACACACGGACTTTCATCATAGGTCTGCACGGTTTTGCCCCAAGACATGATACGGCTCCGGCTCGGGCTGCATTTCAATATCCCTTTTTGCCAACGAGCCTCGCGCTTTCTTTGATTCACATGCAACAGGCGGCTTGTGCGTGCGTGCGGGCCCGTCGCGGTACAACTCGAGCCTTCTCGCTCCTGTCAAGACCTGTATGTACAACATCAAACACGACGCATATACCATCGATTCTCGTTCGGGAGAAAAAAAAACCCCTCCCCCCCCAAAAGATATCCAAGTGCTCGTTAATAAACCACCCTCGAAGCCCCAGCAACACTACCTTTTTCAGACCTCCTAGCAGAATTTTTACGAAAATCTCATCTACTACGATATACTAACTAGTAACCACCGACGCCTGCATTCTAGCTAATACCTTACTCTCTACTTTCGATCTGAGATCTCCCACTATTGAGCGATATTTAAAAAGGTAGCTTACTTGAATTCATCATCAATTCCGCACAGAGTTCCTTCCACGCTACCACGCTATCGACAGACCCCCGGTGGTCAACCAGGCAGGCAGACACTAGATAGACTTCGCAGACGACATTGAGTGGTTGGTCAGGCACTTGGAGCTGCAATGCTATTGCATCATTGGGCTATCCAGAGGCGGCCTATATGTAATAGCGTTGTGACTCAGAAACGTACTCTGCATTTTTCAATGGGTGAAACTTCCAGCTCAGAATTCGCTATGGTTTCCTCTTAATGGCGAGCATCAGCCCCCCCTTCCATCCCCTGGATTCGTTTTCTCAGAATTTTCCACTGCTTGATCCTTCTTCAAAAGTCCCACAGCCTAAAACTTCCATGATGCTCCGTGTCCCGGCAGATCCAACAACTTCCAATTTCTCAGTCCTTCCTTCCCATTTCAATCTCCCACCCTTCCCCTTCACAATTTCCGAAACAAATCTCCCGTAGACAACGACCGCGGATGGAATCGGTTCCGGTCTTCTTCGAGAAACTTCTCATTATTCCTCCACTCCAGAGTCCCAACAACCGCATCGTAAATCTCACCCAAAGTCGCATTTGTTGCGGGCTTGAAAGCTCTCCAAACAGAAGTCGTGTCCCCTTCCAATGTCATTTGAAACTTGACCATGAGTTCTCGAGGATACACAGCTGTGGAGATGGAGAGACGACGCCATGAAGCCTCCGCTGATGCGGAATTCTGGCGGAATTCGGGTCGGAGGGCTTTGGGGAGGTAGACGGGGTGCATTCTGTAGATCTTGCGGAGTTGGAGGACTTCGTATTGGATTTCGTCTTGCTTCACAACGCTCCAGTGGTTGTGGAAGAGAGTCATCCAGTCGGCCATCCAGAGGAGTGGTGCATAGGATGATGTGTCGACGTGCTGGGCGCTTGTGTTGGACTCATTCGTTGGTCCCTACGGTGTTGAGATGGTGATTAGCTGCTGCAGATATGTAAGCATCGTCCACTTACCGCTGACTCGGAAAACATTCGGCGCTGCATGACTTTTGAGCGTCGGATGGTGTCTCGGAAGGCGACGTTGGTGCGCTGAAGCACGAATAACTGGTACGCTGGCTGAGGGATTTCATGGCCGGAGGACGCTGTAGTATGCGAAGGGAGAATTTCTGTGAGCGCCAGGAGAATCTGCTCGAGCAGCTCGTTGATGCCGAAGACTCGGGTTGATGCCATGGCTGCGGTGTTGATCAACATTAGGTCCTGAGGGGCGTGTCGCTGCAAGTTTTTATATAAGTATTTGGTGCTCCGTGATCCGTGCGGGTCAAGTGAAGCAATCTTGCAATTTGCATGTGACAGCGGAGTTTAGTTCACTTGTGATTCTGAGTTTCGGAAGCTTCCGCTGCGCACTTTTGGCTTCCGAAGTCAGATGGTCTCGCCCAGCGGCTATTCAATAATGTCGACATCACCATCGCGCAAGAGGGCGCCTCAGCGTCGAGGATGAGGCTTCCAGGCCAGAGAGGGCTGACAAGCACAGCCTGACTAAGTCGCATGGTGACCACAGCTGGAGCCGAAGCAGCCTCAATGTCCGCCTGGGTTGCCGATGTATGCCTCGGAGCCTGCGTATCTCGTATCAATTCCAGGCATCCAGAGCTCTCCTGCATTTGGCCCGCAGTCGAACTCGTTCCCAGTTCCCCAAATGCCTTTTACTGCTACGTCTTCTTGCCTGCCATCGGTGATTGCATCAATCAAACCCCATGGAGTCCCAGACATACCAGGATCCTATGGAGCGCAGCCCAGGGCACAAAACGAGATAAGACAGCTCGTGTACCACGTGGGCTCGATTTACCAAGGCCGTCGCTGCGTAAGAAACGTACCCAGCGCTATCTCCGCCGGAGGAATGTGGGTGCATGCAGATCGTCCAGCAGTTCCGTCCGGGAAAGTCACTGGTTGGCACGGTGTGACGGCGACTATGATATCAATGGCGATTATCTTGGAGTCCACTAGTTTGTTCGAGGATGGTATCGACGCATTCAAGTCCTGAAGGGTCGATGGGAGACGCATGGCAGCTGTAGGTAGGCCTTGCGGTGGTGGTGTCAGAAATGGGGACATCGAAGGGAGAGCATGCCGCAATGTGTTGGCAAGAGGCGTGGTTGTGCCGTTCAGTCTTGCAAAGTTTCGTAATAGCCTCACACTTGCTCTTGCACTTTCCTTGGCGCCTTCCCTTCGCCATGTGAAAGTGAAGCTGGTGGTCTCGGATATTTCCAAAACGTCACTTCATCACCACTTCAATTTGTGACAAGACATCGCCACAATCATCATGTCTTCGCCGCCACCAAGCAAGAAAGCGCGCACAAGCGCCGACAAAGAGAAGATGCTGGTGGCTTCACATGAGCAATGCTCGTCTCCAGAGCTAGATGAAAAGCAGTGCTCCAGATGCCACGACCTTGAGCAGATCATCGCTGGCCATCAGAAAGAGCTGCGCAGTGCTCACGTGCAAGGGGGTATCGACGTAGCTGCCCAAGAGTTCGCCGAGTGGAAGCAAAAAACCGAGGAAGAAAAGCGAGAAGCCTTTGAGCGCGGCTTGAAGGAAGGAATCAAGCATTCTGAGCAACAGAAGTTTGAGACCGAGCATGCGTATCTTCGGGGTTTGGAGGAAGGGAAGCGAATCGAGCAAGACCAAGCTGAAAAGCTTCGCACCGAAATCGTAGAGCTCAAACAACAGGAGAAAGCTTGGAGCAAGATGTTTGAAAATCTTGTGTCTGAGAAGAGAGAGATTCAGAGCAGCCTCGGTAGCCTACAAGCACAAGGTCTTCAGCAAGGGACTCCGCCAGGCCAGAGCCAGCTCCCATTGCCTTCGAGGGCGCTGCCACCTCAACAACAGCAGAATCCGATCCTTCACGGCCATGGCACCTCGATGATGTGCTCTGGCACTCTAAGGCGCCCGCACATCCCCTTGTATGTGTCCAGGAAACCGCCGCACTTCATGGATGACACTGTACTGGTGTATCGAGCCGCATCTCTCCACAAAGGGCGCACTGTGGTGGCGATTGCACCTGCATATCAGCGCGACGCGCCAAGCAGTCATGCACCGAAAGGCGGGATGTGGGTGTATGTGCGAAAAGACACATTGGTGGCACACCCAAACCCTACCCAGCACGAGCACTACCCGAAGGGTGATTGGGGAATGCACGCGGAGTATTATGGATATCAGCGTTTCGAGCCTGCGAAGCTGTGTGAGACCTCGACGCTGGCTGCGGATCGCGCGTCCACAAAAGGCCAGGTATCGCCAACCATGATCGAGAAACCTTCTGGCATGAGTATGGCTGAAGACACGGAAAAGTCGCGGACGCAATTTCTAGCTGCCCAGGAGTCCGTTGGCAGCGTCAATCAGACTCCTAACTTGACCAAGCACGACCCGCCTGAAGCCTGGCAACAAGTGATAAACAATATGGCCCTCCAGTACAGGGACCATCAGGATTATAAGGCAGGCCGCGAATGATCCGCACCATCCGGGACTGCGTCTCACTGCTAAAGTCTATGGTCGTGAGATCGATCGTTGAGGTACCCTACAAGTACGCACAACTTCCACTCCACTTCCTTGACAAGCGCAGCCAGGAGGAGCACGGGTATAAATTTCCAGAGCCTGTACATGGGCGGGAAAGCGAGTGAGGACTGGGACACCAACAGATTGTACTGGACTTTTGCAATGGTACTTTCCAAGAGAGTACAGTGTCCGGATGTCGGCTTCATGGTTATGGTAGGCAAGCAAGTTGGAATCCAGACCGAAGATGAGCTCAAATAGTCAAAGTGAGGAGGAAAATGGCGGATCGTAACTTGCAAGAGTCAGATGCCATCTATTGAGCTGTCAGCGACGGTGGGTACTCTATGCAAATCACCCCTAACATCGCATGTCCGCTACCGCGTCTCACTTCTCCTCAAAGAATGATTGAAGAAGCACGTGAGCTTCACATAACCTTTCCCTTTCCTCATCGCGGACTTCCTCATCGACGAAAGTTTCTTGCGCGTCAAAAACGATCTCCAGGCCGTCGACTCCTAGTACGGCTGACATTCTCTCTTCAGCCAGTCGAGTGTGAGTTGATCCTCCTTAAAGAACCGGCACGTCTTCTCGTAAACCTCCTTGTGGTAGTCATTAAGCCACCTCTTCTCCGCGTTAGTAAGTAAGCTGACGTCGATAAGTTTCCTGCACATTGGGACCATGGTGACATGTTCGAAACCAAAGTACGGTTTGTCGCCGAAATTGTACCTTGTCTTGACTTCTTTGACCATGATCACGTTCTCGACTCGAACGCCGAAGCTCCCGTCCTCGTAGTATCCTGGTTCGTCTGATATAACGTTGCCGACGCTGAGAGGTACCTCGCTGTATTGAACCCTAGTACCGATACCGATCGGCCCCTCGTGAACGTTCAGGAAAGAGCCGACGCCGTGGCCAGTGCCGTGGCGGTATTCGAGGCCATTCTGCCATAGGTACTGTCGTGCGAGGGTGTCGAGAGCGAAGCCTGATGTGCCTTTGGGGAAAACAGCAAGTTCGAGACCAATGTTTCCTTTGAGAACAAGTGTGTAAGCCTCGATTTCCTTGGCACTGGGCGTTCCAAAATGTAAAGTCCGGGTGGTATCGGTTGTGCCGTCGAGGTATTGAGCGCCAGAATCGCAGAGGTATACTTGCGTAGGGTCAATGACTGAACAATTGCCTGGTTCTGGCTTGTAATGAATGACAGCGGCATTCGGACCGGTGGAAGAGATTGTGTCGAAAGATAGGCCGACGAACTTGTCGTGCATTGAACGGATCTGCTCCAGCTTATCTGCCGCTTGCACTTCATCCAGCGTCGCCTTCTCGTTGACAAGCTGGTTTTCGAGCCAAGCGAAATACTCAATCAGAGCAGCACCATCTCGAATATGGCAGTTTCGCATGCCTTCGAGCTCAACAGGGTTCTTCACAGCCTTGGCATCTCCGACCGGCGATCGTGCCTCATCAACATTCTCCTCGCCACCGAGAGCACGCGAGAGTGCCCAAGAGGCTTTGGTTGAGATTAGATATTTGCGCTTTGGTTGGCTAGCATTTGTCGCTGGCTGTTCTGATGCAAGTGTTTCCAGGTCAGAGAAGATGGCGTCGTAGGGTCTGATGGTGACTCCCTTAAGATGCTCCTTAAGATCTTCAGACAGCTTCATTTCGTCGACATAAAGGCTGGCTGTGGTTGGCGTGATTATGGCGTATGAGAAGAAGACTGGGTTGTATGGAATATCGTTGCCGCGCAGGTTGAACAGCCAGGCGATCTCGTCGAGCATGCTGACCACGAAGCCCGCGGCTTTCTTCTTGTCAAGTTCTTTGCGCAATTCCTCAATCTTCTCCTCCCACTTCTTGCCAGCATATTCCAAGCCGAGTAGCCTAACAGGCTCGTTAGGCATTGGTGGTTTGTCCTTGGCCCAGACTTTGTCGACGAGGTTCTCTGCGATTGCCACGAGCTCCCCGCCGCCTTTCTTCCTGATCTTATCACCAAGCTTCTTGGCCTCGGCCGATGTCACGACAGTTGGGTCGACAGCCACGGTCTTTCCTCCTTCTGCTTGCTCGATGGTCCACTCCTGCCATGTTGGCACATCTTGAAGACCCTGCTTCAGTAATGTCCAGTTGTCGTCGAGTTGTCGGCTCGCTTGGTTGAAGTATCGGCCATCTGTTGCTAAGGCTGCTTTGTCTTGTGATATGACTGCTGTGCCTGCGGAGCCGGAGAAGCCGGAGACGAATTGGCGCCTGGCATCGGCGGCGGCTATGTATTCGGAAGAATGGGCGTCTTCGCTGGGAACAACTAGCGAATGGTCAGTCAGCCATTGCTGCGCGTTATGCGTGATGGGCATACTGTATATATCTACCTTGGCTTCTTGCATGAGGTGCCGCAGCCGCATGATGCGGTCAGTGGTGTCGACCTTCTCCATGTCGACGGGTCGGAATGGCCTCGGTGATGATGAGAAATAACGGAGCGGCGCGCGAGCAGAGAAGGTAAATGCTCGCGTAACGATGGGCAGCATCACCTGCAAGAGACAGAATCGCGTCAAGAACAAAGATGCCAGTACAGTACATCAGCCAAGCCGGGGGTGTAGATGTCGCCGATGTCTCCGCACAGTAGCTGCAGGCACGACCTCAGCATTTCTGGGCCCGATAGAACTACGGAGTAAAACTCGCGTCTCAGAAAAAAAGTCGCGTGCGCTGCAAGACTCTGCCATTGACCCAACAACATCATCGACACGACCTTCATCGACATCGTCTTGAGCCGAGGAGGTAGTGCTGCAAGCTTTGACGAGTCTTTAGAACTACTGTACCACCGGCCAGTGCCGCCGGACAGCGTTAGCATCCAGCCAGAGTCGCCTGACTTCACTCCTGCACATCGCGGCATCGCAAGAAGCATCAAAAATGGCCATGGCCACCAAAGGCACCATCGCCAAACGACTGTTTGCGGGAGTGGCCCACGTTCGCCACTACTCGGTTCCAGCCTACCGCGCCATACCGGCCGCAAAACAGAAATACGTCCCTACGTCTGGCACCTACCCAAAAGGATTTCTTGCTGGAAGCGCTTTTGCAGGCGTCAAGGCGAGCAACACCAAATATGACGATCTGGCCTGGGTTACGTCTGAGACGCCATGTCCAGCGACCGCAACCTTCACGCAAAACGTCTTCAAGGCCGCGCCTGTTCTCAAGTCCAAAGAATTCTTGATCGCCCGGAAGTCAGAAGGCTTTCGAGGCGTCATTGTCAACTCTGGCTGCGCCAATGCTGTCACGGGCTCCTTAGGCCTCGAACACGCGGCAACTATGGCCCGAGAGACCGACAAGCTATTCAACCCTGCTGCTAGCGACGACGCCACGCCTCAGACTCTGGTTATGAGTACCGGCGTCATTGGCCAGCGTCTTCCCATCGACAAGATCACAGCTGCTATCCCCAAGCTCCAGCGGAACGTCGGAAATACTCACCAACACTGGCTTAATGCTGCCAAGGCCATCTGTACCACAGATACCTTCCCAAAGCTGCTCTCTCGCACCTTCACATTACCATCGCACCCAGACACCATCTACTCCATCGCCGGCATGGCCAAAGGTGCAGGCATGATTCACCCCAACATGGCTACACTCCTTGGAATGATCTGCACCGATGTCAAGATTGACTCAACGGCAATGCGTATGCTACTGACTCGTGCAGTCAACTCTTCTTTCAACTGCATCTCCATTGATGGCGATACAAGCACCAATGACACTGTCGCCTTCTTTGCTAATGGGGCTGCGGCACCTAGCAATGTAACGCCCTTGTTCTATTCGAAGATCAAAGGCGAACGTGGTCAGTCTGGGCGAGGAGTGAAGATTGTGTCCAGCAACGATATGATTGAGATGGAAAAAGTGTTGACAGACTTTGCTCAAGATCTTGCCAAACTGGTTGTTCGCGATGGTGAAGGTGCCACGAAATTTGTCACAATACGTGTCAAGGCGGACACAAACTATACCAATGCACGACGAGCCGCCGTCTCCATCGCTCGCTCTGCACTGGTAAAGACAGCACTATACGGCAAGGACGCTAATTGGGGTCGCATTCTGTGTGCAATTGGCCACGCCCCAGGGATCATGGACAGCCAGGAGATCAGGACATCGGACTTGCAGGCTGCGAGAATCGCGAGGGAGCCTGCAAAGGAGAAATGGGTCAAGGCCGAGCGGGCGGTAATTCCATCGCAGACATCAGTCAGCTTCATCCCCGCCGACGGCTCCGAGGAGCTCAAGTTGCTGGTTCGCGGCGAGCCTGAGCAAGTAAACGAAGCGCGCGCCAAGCAGATTCTAGAGATGGAGGACTTGGAGATCCTGGTCCGACTAGAGGACAGCGATTACACTGAGAAGCGCAAACCTGCTGTGAAGGAGGCAGTTTACTGGACGTGCGACTTGAGCCATGAGTATGTCACGATCAACAGCGACTACCGCACGTAGCCCAAGCTGGCATTTTCGGCTGTCAATCAGATGGCATTGTATTACGATGGGATTCAAGATGCTCTTCAGCTTCTGCAAAGCTGTTGCGCCCGACAATTCGCCTTCATATAGAGGTCGACGACCGGATCGTGGTGCGGAAGCTTGGCAAAGGAGGCCTCTGATGAGTGGGTTGAAGGGGACTGGGCGTGGCGTGAGTGAACGTAGAAGGATGACTCACTTAGGAATTGTAGTTGCAATTGTATTATAGGCTTACATACAGTAGACTGATCTCAGTCTTCTCATACGTTGCAGATGGCCGTGTCTTATTTCTCCAATCGAAAGGTATAGTGGCGTCGAGATCTGATGCGTGCCTCGACGAGGGTCTCGCATGCCACTTCAGCAGTACTTACACGGACTGGATAGCAAAGTGTCGGGATCATGCTGCGGTGATAAGAGGTGAAGTTGTTGACGTACAGTAGTTCTAGCTTCGCCAGCGCGGCTCCACCTTGAAGCTTGTCGAGCGCTGCACTTGCGGTCCACGTCGCAACGAACACCTCAATCATGAGCCCACCGACACAGAACACACTGCATCTCAGCGAAGACGACATCTTTCGAACTTCGAGCCAATTTCGCCTGTGGTCCTTCGCACCCGGACAGCTCGCTGCGCAACGCCGGAAAACACACGAGCTCGCCCTCGCCCGCGCGAAGCAATATCTCAGCCAGCAAAATGGCAATGGTGCTGCCTCAAATGGCCACACAAACACACCAGAATGCCTGACCGCCAATGAAGAATTGCGGCTCGTGCAAAGATATGGTGAAATCATTCGCGTAACAGCGACCCAGCTCAAATGGCCTACACACATTGGCATTACCGCGATCCAGTATCTGAAGCGCTTCTACCTGAGCAACAGCTGTATGACCTATCCTCCAAAAGAGATTTACAAGACCGTCATGTTTCTCGCCAGTAAGACTGAGGCATTCCACTTGCCGCTCAGCCAATTCAGCAGGAGTGTCAGCTCCGAGCCGGATACCGTCCTCGCGCCAGAGTACAAGATCATGCAAGCACTGCGCTTCACTCTAGATGTACGGCAGCCATCGCGAGGTCTCAAAGGCACATTGATGGAGCTGCTGAATATGGTAGAGGGCATGATCGGACCTGTGCCTGGCGCAGAGGAGACGGATGGGAAGGAAATTCAGAAGCGGCTTTTTGAGCTAAAGGCGCCAGCAGATGGCAACAGAACACAGTGGCGCGCAAAGTCCCCCAAGGCAGACATCAAGCAAGCTCGTGACAGGGTACAGCTCGCATTCCAATCTGCAAAGGAACTCCTTGATTCTACGGCCTCTCTTACAGACGCCTACTTCCTCTACACCCCCTCGCAAATGCTCATGGCTGCTCTCGAAGTCGCAGATGCCCCGCTCCTCCACTTCTACCTCGCCACGAAACTCCCCTCTTCGTCACCAATCCGCGCCAAGATACTATCTACAATCCACTCCTGTGCGGGAATGCTTGCAGCTTACGATCCGAACAGCTCCATGAAGAAAGAGGAACGAGCCGAGCTTGAAAAGAAGTTGGAGGCATGCAGGGATCCGAACACTAGAGATTTGGTCAAGGTGCATGCTGCGGTCAAGAGAAATGGTGCTGAGGAAGGTATGGTCAGCGAGCAGGACGCTAAGAGGAGAAAGCTTGAGAGGGAGAAGAGTAATAAGGAGATGGATGATCTGTTTGGGCCGAGTCTACCGCAGGCTAAGGGCTGAGGTTTGAGGAGAGCCCAGGAACAGGACACAATGTCATATTGGAGCAAGAAGAGCCCTTTGGTTTGGATGCACAGGGACAGGTATCACGAGAAGCGCTTGCTTCCCCCAGATGCCACACGCGGAGCATCAGAAAGCACTTGCCGGGCCTGCAAGCTCCCCGGTATTCCACGTCGAGAGTCAGCGACGCTCAAAAGTCGCCATCTAGTCGCGGCAGAAGCTGTTTGAGCATGGGCGTTTGCAGGAACGTACACCAGGAAGTCCTGAAGGCATACAGCGATCAACACAACTGCACGTAGATCGCGGCTCGTCATTTCGCTCCAGGAAAAAATGCAGAGGCTTCTGTGCCGCTCGAACCCACCCAAAATCCTCGCCTCTACGTTTTGCGAGAATTGAAATGTACCAAGCGAGGTAATCTACATCAGTAGCTACGTCAGAGACTCTGTTTCTACTATCTTCCCTCATTCTAGTCTCGGGAACTACTGTGAGACTCGGAGATGTTGAAGTACTATCGATGTGAGGTCTGGTGATCTTTGTGCAAGCTCACTCCAGATCAAGCGCGTGCTTCGTGGAGTGATAGAATATTGGCACACATTTAATCGTACCAGAATCGTTTTGGACGTTGAATCGAAGTCCTGGACAATGAAATGAGGTGTTATGCAGGGGTATGGATAATCTGCATTGCCGGCTAAAAGAGAGAGCTGCAGTGTAATTGATTGATCCTACTTGTCTCTATGCCCTTGATCTCGTTGTGAGCCTGTCTAGCTTGATTCAAGCACGAGCTTCTAAATAAGACTGGCCTCGTTCGCGAATTGTTCCCGCGAGGAATTCTCCTGCTTCACTCCAGAAACTCTTTCGCATCATGTCCGGCGTCAACACAGCTCCCGACACACAAACCCAGCTCATCAAAGCCCTTCTCCCACGCGAAGACGTCCTAAAAGCAAGACCGAAATACTTCTCCCTGCTGAGTCCGACAGGAATTCTAAAACCCAACACCGATCCAGTGGAAGGTATTTACAACACATCACACGAGATGTGTCAGCGATGGTCGAACGTTTTGCGTCCTGCCGATGGACTATAGGCCGGCACACGTCAATGTCCATCATCCTGCAATGGCTTATTGCCTCAATGCCTGATCGATCACATCAACAAGCTTCGCTGGCTGACTTATGAAAGGGTCGTGGCCTGCATCAATCCTCGCAATATGCAGGCCGTGCTCCTCGGCCATCTTCTCTTGCCAATCTGCAGGCACACACTTGTCCTACAATCATGTCAGCCTGTCGAGTGCCGCGTCCTGTAGCGACGCGGGCCTCACCTGTTCAGTCAAAATACACCATACTTGACATTGCTTCCACGACTCGCTTCTCTCATCTGGCGAACCCGCCATACCCTGATACACCAGCGCGTCAATATACGGCTGGGCATCCGCTTCCGCCATATCATTAAAGAAAGCCTCCATCGCCTTATGGCATTCAATAGTGCCATCGACTCTGCCAAAATCTGCATATCCCTTCTCAAAGAGGAATTTCGTGACAGGACCGTACTCGAGGAACGACCCCAACATCATGATTACAAGTTTGTCTTTGGCATCTGGTTGCGCCGCAAGAATATCGTGAGTCGCTGCAAGTCCGACTGGCCCAGCTGCACTGTGCAAAATGAGTGCAACGCGGCCTTTCTTGAGCTCGGGTTCGATGACAGATACGAATGACTTGACGGCGTCCTCGGCAGTCATCGTCTTGTCTCCTGCGGAAACCAGCGGGTGAGGGATCACTTTGTATCCGGCTGTCTCGAAGTGAGGCAGAATAGGCTTGATGTGTGCTTCTCGATGCCATGCTCCAGAGCAGAAAATTATGGCGGGCTTGTTTTCTGACATGATGGTCGGCGTGCTGACTTCGCTGGTAGGTTAGGTTGGAAGAATTGGAGATGGCTTGCTCAGCTGAGTTAGGTAGGCTAGGCAGGCAGACCAAGTCTTTCGTGCTCCTACGCGGGATCCTGCCTTAGGATTCGGGTTCGCGTTTCCATATGCGCCACGTCTTAGCTTGCAGACGCAGACCTATGCATAGGACTGCACAAAGATATCTCGCGTGTACAGAAGACACAGTCAGTAGTGGTATCGCAACTCTTGTCTCACGCAGAGCAAGCCAACTGTTTTGATAGGCATACCTAAGGTCGTCACAAAATTACTGGAACTGGCCACTCTTCAATCGGACACAATGAGGCGACGAGGTCTTCCGCTCCTCCCTGTCTAGGACTAGAAAGAGCCTTCAAGAGGACCATTCTACATACGTAAAACTGCTTTCGCTGAGCCAGGAAACGACGGCTCGCTCGCTTTGATACCCATCTTGAACAACTCTGAGTCTGAGAACTACACGCGAGAAGGATCAACTCTTGGCGCTCCATTGAACGCCGAGCAGCGAGCGCCGAGCAGAAAGACCGAGCAGCTGAGGGTTCGGATTCAACTTCCTCGACGGACCTTGATCTGTTCTCCAACAACATCCATATCACCAGCCATGTCCATCGATCGAACTTACAAAGCCACGCCAGCAAGTGTTGTGCGAACAGTCCCGGCCAAGCGTCGTAATGGCAAGCTCCAGAGTTGTGAACCATGCAGGAGACGAAAGCTTAGTTGTGACCATAGGATCCCGTCTTGTAGTCGTTGTTTACGAAGAGGCCATCCACAGTCTTGCTATTACCACCCAGCGCCAATGACAACACAGTCGGACGCAATGTTGCTTACGCCTTCGCTGTCCAGTCTTTCTTCGCCCGATGCAACCACGACCATGACCACGGCAGCCTCGCAACCGATATTAAGACTTCACACGCCGAAGCCGTTGCAGCATCAGAGCTCTGCTACGAGAGCAGAAAGCGTTCCGCCATCTGGAAGGCTGCAAGAAATCCTGAGTGTGCCTTCTGCAGGCATTCTTATGGAAAGTGCTTCCACGCCACGAGCAGTGGGATACCTTGGCGAGATCACTTCTGCTGCTGTAGTTGCTGAAGTCAACAGCAGTCTTGGGATTCCTACCCACGACGGACTAATAGAACCACCGAAGGACCGTCTCACTGAAGATTACATTCGCAGCGGGGTCGAAGTCCTTGGATTTCTGCAAGACATCGAGAAGATCAGGGAGTTGCTTAGTCGATGGTTCAAATTCGGAGACGGATTCATGCTTTATCGACCTCTCTATGAGATATGGCTTGAAGGCCTAGCGCCAGTTCTGGAAGATTACTCTAACGGCAAGGGCTTGGAAAGCTTGGCCGCTACCATTTGGTGCAATACGCAGTGCTCTCTAACCTGCGGCAAGAATACCACGCTCCAAGAATGGGCGTCTGCTGCCACTGGTGACCGCCTGAGATGGGAGACCATCGGGCTGCTGCTGTCAATCATCGGCCTTCTTTCTGCTAGTCTACCTCCATGGGATACCGTCTTCAAGGGATCGTATGGCAGAGATGACCTGATGCACACTACGCTCAAGCTGGTGGAAATCTGCATTGATCTTTCGAAACGATCGGGAACCCGCAACGAATTGCTGCTGTGCTTGCTATACGAGAGAACCGTGATCATCTCGGGCATACAGGGCGACACTTCCAGCGAGGTATGGGAGTCGTACAGTGGAGTGTGTGACGTGGCCATCCTTCTCGGCCTTCACTTGGACAGCCGAGCAAATTCTCAGACGCCGTTTTTCCTGGCGGAGCTAAGGGCGAGGATCTTCAATGTTATCTTTAGCATGGACAAGTTTCAGGGCACCTTCCTAGGTCGTCCGCCTCGACTGAGCTATCGATACTGCCATGTCCCATTTCCAAAGGACATCACCGACGAGGAAATGTTGCTTCCATGGCCCGAATTGCAGGCACGGCTTGCGCAGCTTGATGCCAATGGCGGCTGGTCAAAATCTGGCAGTGTTGGAAGATGTGGCTGGCGAAGAGCTTGGTCAGCGCGACATGAGCTGCGAGAAGATGTTCTTGAAGTGGTGATTGGTACTAGTAACATCGATCTCGAGGCTAGTATAAGGTAGGCGATTCCCTCACGTGCACACTTATAATATCTACCTAACTCTACTCTGCCAGGTCTATTCGTGCTAGAGAAAAGGAAGCCAGCGAATCACTTCCCCCATTTTGTCGTGGACTAGACCCAGAAGACCTGCTGACAAGACTAAAACGTGACCCTACGCATCACATTCCAGGAAGAGGTGTGGAATGGCGCCCTGTGGATCTCTTGTGTTTTCTTTCGATGCACTTCGGCATCCGGCATACCGACTTCTTGTTGGAGCGAGCGATCTTCAACAAGACCAAATGCGATTCGTCACGCCTGATTGCGTCTGCGAAAGCAGTCCTGAAACTGGTTTTAAAAGCTCATCAAGTCCGAGACTTCCTCTACGAGTTCCAGCTGGATTTTACTGACATGTTGGCGTTTTATGCGGTCCCGGTCGCAGGCGTTCTTGCCATCGAAATGCTGAAGCGTGACCAGTTGAACGATCTCTGCGACACCTTTCCTCGATCGGAGACACTTCAGCAGCTAGGCGTTCTGGTCCCTGCTTTGGAAGCTGTGAGGCCAGATGAGGGCAATTACAAGTTATGCTCAATGGGCCTCAATGCTATCAGAAAAGTGCTCGATCAGCTGCTGTCAAAACCTTCAGGCCGTCCGATTGCCATCGATGGCCATCAAGGACATGCGTTTGAAGACGCACAATTTGGAGTTGGCATTGGCAACGATGCAGACTTTCTCCAGTGGCTTGGGAATGTTGACTTCGACACCAATGGCTGGCTGGACTCGCTTTGAACTGGATTCTGGTAATCGTAAATGCTTTGGTACTCCTCGGCGAACTGGATGAACCCAGCAGCTTGTATGCCAACCTTCTCGATCCGCCACAATCACAGGTAGTAGGATGGCGGCAGCTGGGGAACATGTTAGCATACTTCTTCTTGGTGTCCACTTTGACATTCAGACTTACTGCGCTGTCAAAAGCATCTGCTGACGTTGAGACCGAGTTTCGTGGCGAATCAAGTCTCTCGTCCGCTCTACGACGATAGTACTTGCAAGGGCACTTCCACGATCAGAGGTGCGTGTGCAACCTCGGAGAAGCGGAGCTCAACCTTGACACTGTATCGGACATTCGATAGCGGAGAAGCAAATGTGGGAACGAGGGTGGAATTTGGTCGAATGGCAACAGGATTTGTGGCCTCGAATGAGGCCAACATGGTCGACTGTCGCACGTTGCGCTGATCCCAGCATAGAGGATCCACCTTCCACGATTCAGAGTGGACCGTTTCATTCCGGAGCCGCAGGTATTTGTTCGATTGCATCAAGCGTGTACTTGCCACCTCTTTCAGTGGCATTGTCGAGAAATAGACGTGCCGGACGAGATCAAGATGCACTTCGCAGCTCCATCGTGGCGGCGGCAGGCTCCCTTTGCAAGCTTGCTCGGAACATAAGGTGGTTCGTACGCGGAGCATTCCCTGCGTTCGATCGGGTGACCCGTCTGAGAACATCGGAAGAGGCTGTGGTTCGCACGACGAAAGCGTAATTCTGCCAAGATGCGTTCTCAAAATCCGCCTCCTCAATTCCTTGGTTGTGGTCATCTGGAATTCTCCCGGAAAGTCATCTGTGCTCACCGGCGGACTGGCATCGATCCACGGCGTGAAAGAAATCTCGCGGGAGGCCTGGCACTTCAGTAACTGCGCTCGTGGACGGTCTCGATACACTGCTGTGGCCCGAATGGTGTAATGTATCAACGGCTGCATGCACCGATTGCCTCGTAGATCTAACGATATCTTGCCGCTCGAAAATGTAGGTGGCAACATCGATAGTTGAGAGTTCCCGTCATCAGTCGGGAAGCACTGCGAAGCAATGCGGAATTTGAACGGCATGGAGCAAAGCTGGATTTCGTCAACGATTTGCATCACCTGCTCCTGTTGCGGTATGGCTTGTGACTGTCTTAGGAACTGTAGTCATGGTGAGTGAGTCTATTGTTTGCAATTTTGAAGTTGTTACGCTTTCGCTGACCTCGTATTGAACAGCTGAGATATAATTCTCCACCTCTACCCACGTTCTCATGATCCCTGAGAAGGTAGGTCAGTACTCGACATTTCGTGATATTGGGCCAACCTTGATCACCTTCGAACGATACAAGCACATGGCACGCCTCGAAAGGTCCCGCGACGTGAAGGTGTATATGCCCTATAAGCAGGTCCCCGGGATGATACGAACGGTTACACATTCCTTCGTCCGTGTCGTCCTGGAGTGCAATGCGAAGGCTGCCACGCGGTGCTTGAAAACTTGCATTACGAACTGACATTAGGAGGAAATCTTCTCGTCAACAAGTTTGGAGAGAAGTCATCAATGTAGTGTCTAGCGTCCCGTGTCCACCTTGAAGCTTGCGAGGCCTATGAAATATATATCTTGACTTGCCACTGCAGTATGCGCGTGATGTTGAGCCCTGTGGACCAGCGCCCGCCCGCTCGCTTTCCTTCGCCTATTGGGAATCACGCACTATATCAATCAGCATGAACCACACAGATATATCCGAAGCATACCAATCTTGCTTTCACGCCTTTCGTGCACGCTTGCGAAGTTGGGAATATATCCATACTCAACTGTCGCCTCTCAACTCTGCCAAGGCATGCCGACCCCCATTTTTACAATCTTTAACGACGAGTAGACAAGAAGGTTCACATGGCAAGAGTTCAAGTGCTGTGACTAGACTGATGGGTTGGTGACGCCGACTCGCATGCATGCCCATTGGAGTGTTTTTTTTTGTTCCGCTGCCCGGGCAGAAACATGGATGCTTGTGCAGATTTAAGCTTCGTGCATGGGACTGGCTCGTGCTCAGATCGTGAACCTCCCGCCATCATTCTCAGATCGAGTGCGTGAATCTCAATGGTTTCTATTTGCTAAATGCGGTTTGGTTGATTGTTTCGATAGCGGTGCTTGATGAGAGTCCTGGACTTAATTGACCCGTAAAGTGCCACGCATACCATCGCCGCCAGACTCACACACCCACCGACCCGCTCGCTCTCTACAGTGTACCACCTCAAACTCCATACCTGCCCAGCACTGAGCATTTGACAAGGACGCTTATGCCGCTCCATCGAGACAGAGTGAAAGACAAATTCCGCCTTCCGAAAAATTGGTATCGCTTTACGTCGCTTATTCTGGCTTCGGTCGATGTACCAATTTCTCTGCCTGGTCAGTCGATGCCTTCCATATTCACGCCGGAGATGGTGATGTACCAAGATCAAGGGTGCCAGTGAGAGGTAGAAGCGAGGCGAGGTCTAGCGGTATAATGCTAGAGAAGTGACCAGAAACCATGCGACAGCGCGAGATGCATAGTCCAGTGTAGATCTGACCCAGATGAGGTTGTGATTGCAATCCAGATGTTACTCAAGCGTAGCCAGCCAGAGATGGCCATAGTAATGTCAATGTAACCCGTCCAAACTCATCTCTTAATCCCAACCACGACCAAATTCCTCGGGCTGAATTTATAGTCAAACACCGGCTCGACCCAAGCTTCTCTAACTTCACTCTGCTCCTTGAGCCAAAGATATCGGTCAACAACGATCGCGGCTTCAATGACTCCAGCACTGAATGCCATCAAGCTCCACATCACACTCAAATTCTTCTTCCCTTCAGCGTAATCTTGAGCATACTTCTCAATCTCATAATCCGAAATATCGCCCATTTTCTCCTTGAAGACGTCTCCTCGGTCTGGATCATGGAACAATTTCGCCAAAGCTCCTCGGACGTACGTTGTGAAAGATTCGTAAGACGACTTTTTCAGGCTTCCTATTACAATCGGTGTGCCGCCACTGCTATGTCCGGCTGGTGATAGTCCGCCGACACATTCTGGCGTAGGTGGGCCGACAACTCCACGATCTAAGAAGATGCGTTGCAGTAAAGCTCGGTAGAAATGCCTTGTGAAGAAGCTCTCACTATCGATTGGTCCCCAATTGGAAGGTGCTTGGACGGCCATCATGCGAGAAGTGATGTTCAAACGGACTCCTTTGTCGCTCTCCGGACTCCTCTCGTCGTAGTATTGGCAGAATCGCTCACTCATTGGAAAGCCGTGTGGATCATTGGCTTCACCGGTCTTCGAAAGCCGAGGATGGTCGTGGGTGGTTGGGCGAAGTTCGGGGAGTTTGTAGGTTGCTGGACCGAGACGTTCGGTGACGAGATTATAGCAGCATCCTACCATTGAGACGGCGCGGACTTCTGAGTTGAGGAGAAGAGAGCGCAAGCCGTGATGGACGAGATTGCCACAGGAGTGAAGAGAAATTACCATGAGGTTCTTTGGAGAATTACTTTCTGGTATGCGATCGATCACATCTCTGAGATTGCCATCCTGAATCCGATGGTCGACGTATTGAATCTTCCCGGTTCCAGTCGTTGGAAGTTCGACAATTGGCGCTCTAGGCACGAAGCCTGCATTGTGCTCAGGTGGAGGCGTCGGGAGCTCAGCAGGAACGACTGGCCTTGGAGGCAAGTTGAGATGTTCGCCACCATCTCGGAAAGCTTTCTTATTGCGCATGATCTTCTTCTTCTCGACCAGTTTCGCAAGGACATCGAACTCTTTGGCTCGCTCTGCATTTTCTTGCCGACTCTCGATGGCAACGATGTTCCTGTTGTAAGGCTGACTTGCCAGTGCTCGGCCCAAATAGTTCTGGCCTGAGCCGAAGTCGACCAGATGAGATACTGGCTCGCGTGTAGATGCAGTAATGGAGGAGGCTAGATTGTTGATGTATGAAGCGAACAGACCAACCTCATGGACTTTCTTCACATTCATGCCCACCGATACATCCCTCGTGAGTCGCTGCGTTGGCTTCAAAACTCGATTACGAGAGCACTGGGAACTGTTCGGCTCTCTGCGCAGCAAATGCCGTCTCACATTTGCCATGTAGTCTAGGAGAGATGGGGGCGGATTACCATTGACATTTGCGATGTGATCTTCGGGATGCGCGGAGTTGTATATGGATATGTCGCTGCGAATCAGCAAGTTGACGATTTCAAAAGTGTCCTCTTGCTGTGCGAAGAAAGACGTCCAGTCTGGAGGCAGGGTTCTGTCGTACAGGCTCGGCTCGGTGGTGAAGAAGTCGAGAATGTGCACACCTCCGCAGAGCACTCTGAGAAGGTCATCGCCGCCAACGAAGCTCAGCAGTGAGTCTACATATTCATCTGTGCTGGCGAAGTCGTCCGAGTATGGAAGTGGTTGTTCTGGTCCAAGTCTGGCGTCCATTTGGGAGGATTACTCAGCCCGGTCCCGGTAGACACGATGCCAGCCTCATATTATATCGAGGTGGTGACTGTGTAGTAGTGAAGTTGTCCGGCGCAACAAAATTTGGCTGTCGGGTTGCACGAGACATTCTCTACGGCCGGCGAAATCACTGAAGAGTTAGAAGTGAGGCTGAAACTGAGTTTCGTTTCGGAGCGCCACCCGCGATCTCGCATAAGATCCCTGTCCTGTCCTTTGTCAAAAGGAGGCTTCGTCATCCTGGACTTTCGGCCTGCGACAGCTCTTTCACATTCACTTGTGCTTTTCACATGCTGCATGGAAGAGAAGAGGAGGCTAGCTGAGGCATATGCTCTAGAAGCGCAGCAAACGCGTACATCGTCCAAGATGGCGATGCCACGCCCAATCCGCTTTATGGCCCTGGCTACGCTGGCCCTGTTTGTGTTTTTGCTATACCACATTGTGAAAAGCCCGACAGTGATAACGGCGCCAGGAGGCAGAGAGAAGATGTCGGAAATGATCCGAGATCCCAACCTAGATCGTATGCGAAGCCTGAACGTGTTGAAAGGCAGCAGTCTAACAGTGTCTTAGCTACCGACGAACCACCTGAACCTTTGAACCGAGTGAAAGGCAACAACTACGATCCGGATAACCCGAACTCCGATCGCATCAACGCGACACTTCTCTCGCTGGTGCGAAACGAAGAGCTCGAGCACATTGTGGGTAGTATGCAGGAGCTGGAGCGCACGTGGAACCACAAATTCAACTACCCTTGGACTTTCTTCAACGATGTGCCGTTCACGGAAGAGTTCAAGCGCGCCGTGAGAGCGAACACGAAGGCCGAGGTCAGGTTTGAGGAGATTCCGAAAGAGCATTGGGAGATTCCTTCATGGATCAATATGGATCTCATGGAGGAAAGCGCGGCAATGCTTGAAGAGAAGAAGATCCAGTACGCCAGAATGAAGAGTTATCACCAGATGTGTCGATGGAATAGTGGCATGTTCTACAAACACCCTGCACTGAAGGATACGCAATACTACTGGCGCGTCGAGCCGCATGTCAACTTCTTCTGCGACGTCGACTACGATGTTTTCCGCTACATGCGCGACCACAACAAGACGTACGGATTCACCATCAACATCTACGACAATCCAGACACGATCAATACACTGTGGCCGGAGACTATCAAATTTCTAGCTGGCAACAACCAGTATCTGTCGAAGAACAACGCAATGGGATGGCTCACGGACAAAGAGCGACGCCCCGAGTGGAACATTAGGGCGAACGGATACTCGACCTGCCATTTCTGGTCGAATTTCGAGATTGCTGATATGAACTTCTGGCGATCAGAAGCTTACGAAAAGTACTTTGAGCATCTTGATCGTGCAGGTGGCTTCTTCTATGAGCGATGGGGCGACGCGCCCGTTCATTCCGTCGCTTTAGGACTGTTTGAGGACAGTAGCAAGATTCATTGGTTCAAGGATATCGGCTACAGGCATATCCCGTTCTTCAACTGCCCAAACAGCCCGAAATGCAAATGCAAACCGGGACAATTTTACGATGGCGAACCATTCCTGGCCAAAGAGGATTGCAGGCCAAGCTGGTTCAAGTATGTTGGTAATGAGTGGGCTAAGAAAGGCTGAGGCATGAATAAAGTTGTGCAGCGAGGAGTTTTGAGGAAGATGGGGAAGCGCATGGGAAGGACATATCCGACAGAAGCGTGGCATATTCAGGAATTAGCGTATGGCGTCTGGAGTTTGTGACGGTAAGCATGAGTGGTGCATGGATGGTGCACCGGTGGGATGCATTCGGAACGTCCTAGAGCGTGTATATCGAGAGAATTTAGGCTATCACGGCCTTGTCGTATCTTCGCCCACCTTCATGGTGATGCTGGAATACGCGCGCCAATCTTCTGATTCTGAGAAGGACAATGTTATAAGCTTGCCCAAATGGATAGAACACCGTCCTAGCAGCAAAGCTACCAAAGGAGGAGGCCGCGCAGTGCAGGATGGACCCAAGGCAGTACATGGCGATAGAGAAGATGAACACTCGGACGAGATCTTTCCAATTGATTGCCAAGATGAAATTCTCACTTTTCTGCATAGCTCTCGCAGCTACTTCTCATGCCTTGTCGGGGTCCAGTTCTACCAAGACTTTGTCAAGGCGGGAGAAGGGCAATCTGTCGTGCTACAGCGCCTTCAACATCTTTCACTTCAGCGCACTCTGCCCTACCACCAACTACAAAACAGGCGGCGATGGACGCAACGTCATGACGAAGCTCTATTTCGCCTTAAGAGCCACGACAGTCCCGGATGATACCGTTTACCAACCAGAGGAAAACATCGTCTGCACAGTCCCCAACGCAACTCCAAACATCACGGACAACATTGGCGCTGGGGTTAGCGATGGGCGTTTGGTATTGTGGTCTTCCGCCTTGCTTGATCCACGCTGTTCGTTAGATGTAACGATTCGTTGGCCAGGAGTAGGTTACATGATGCCGGAGAGCATTTGCAGTCTTGGTCCTTTGGTCCCAAGGATGCTTTTGTATATTGGTACTCCAGATACTGCTTCAGGGGTTATCAGCACTTGTCTTGGACGGCTAGTTTGGTGAATATCTGCCTCGAACGGCTCCGAGAACTAATCCGCGCCTTTACCACGACGCTACTCATCAGTGCAATCCCAATCACTCATTCACCCAATCAATCAATCAAATAAATACTCTCCCTCCCCAGCCTTCAACGTCCCCACACTCTCCCTCTCCGTCAACACCTGCATCTGACTAACAACAGGCTCCCCACCCCCAACAGGAACAAAAAACATCTCCGCCCTCGGCCTCCCAGCACCTCCCTCGTCCAAAACCTTCCAAATCTTCCCACACTCTCGCAAATCCCCTTCCAACCCCTCGATTTTCGCAACATCAATCGATCCCCGTAAAAATCCCCTCTGCTTCGGCAGCAAATCATTCAATCCCCGACTCGTATGATCAAACCAAAACATATACATAACCAAAGCCCTCCTCATCGCACTCCCGGTGGTACTCAATCCCAAACACCTCCCAAAACTCCTCCCATACTCATCATCCGTCCTCATCCCCAATTTTTCAAACAACCCCCTCATGCACAAATTCTGCAACTCCGCCACCCGTATATTGTAGTATTTAAAATAACGCGCTATATCGTCGGAGAGCCGAGTTTCAGTTTCTGCTAGTTGTTACTATAATTAGTTAGTAACCCGGCTTTCTTAGCACTCGCAGATCTCTACTACTATATCTAAATACCGTATTAACTATATTGTCGCATTTTTAATAGTATAAAGCTATCTAAGGTATTACTAATAGCGCGCCTGCTAGACGATTAACTTAATAAGATTAAGCGCTTCTTCGACGACGGCTCGCTATTTAATATCGCTATTTCTAAGGTCCTAAATATCGCTAGAAGGACTGTCGACAAGCTCTATAACAATTATAAGCTATTTAGTATATTCTATATTAGCGATTTAGCTAAATTAGGTCGCCCTCGAAGGCTCTTACTAATCTATAAAGATATATATATTTCCGGCTCTTATAAAGTCGCGTATAACTAATCTAGCTCTTACTATAGCGTATCTTTAAGTTCCTTATAGATCGACCGACGGTATATTAAGATAAGGTAATATAGTACCTATAGAACGAGTTTAGCGTAGTCGTAAGCTAACCGACGATTTCTCGAATACTAAAGGCTCGTAACTAGACGAGAAAGAAGGCCTTCCGTATCGCCTACGAGTAGAATAGCGAGTTACGCGATAACTTTAGAATATAGTAAATAGGTATATCTGCGGAAAGACTTATAACTGTCGACGAGAGCGCGTTAAATAAGCGTACTAGATAGCGGAAATATAGATACGGTCCTATTAACCGTCCGGTCTACGAAGAGGGCTCGATAGTACGTTCGAAGAGGTAGAGTATATTACCTACTATCGGCGTAAATAGATATCTTCGAGGTACGCTTATATACTAAGGTTCTATTACTAGCGCTATATTCGAGAGCTAGCTTAAGAATACGGTCTTGCTATAAATAGAGCCTAGTATAGTATTAGTAATAGATAACGCGTCGATCTACCGTACTAACAGCGTACGAGAACTATATCGATAAGTAGGTATCTACCTAAAGATACTACCGCCCTATTTACCTAACTTTAATCCTATCGAGTTGTCGTTCTCGTCGCTAAAGGCGTAGGTTAAGAAGAACATCTACGAGGCTAACTGCTTTATAGACTTCGGATAGTTTATAAGATACGTAGTAAACGAATTAAATATAGAAGACAATATAGAAGCGTAGTTTTAGAAAGTAGGTTAGAGATATTAATTATACTTAATCCTTTAGAGACTCGCTTTTACTAACGACTATCTCTAGCTTAGTAATACGGCTCTTTAAGTCTTCTATTTCTTGTCTTAATTCTTCTACTATAGCACGCGTAGTATTAGTAGCATAGTCCTTTATAATAGCTTTAATATGCTATAGATTAGGCAATACCGGCTATAGCGATAAGCTTCTCGAATAAGCTAACGACGGCGATATAGTAGAAGTATCGATATGCCCTTCTATATCTCTCGGCGGTAGTATAGTAACAATCTCCTCGTCGCCTTAAATATCCGCAATCTACTCGGAATTAGTTAAATCTATAAAGATACCTAATCGGCATACCTCTAATGCGCTACGGGTAGCTATTGTGATAGAAGAGCCTAGAATTTGGTAGTTTCGGAATTATTTTAATCGCTAGCGGCACCTCGAGACTATTTAAACTAGCGCCGTTAGTATATCGCTATATTCGTGTCGCGATAGAGCCGCGATCGAGTCGCAATCCGGAGCTGCCTCTATCTTAGGCTATTTTCGCTTTGTGCTCGTAACTTCCTTTATATTCTACGTATACCGGATCTCGGGTCTTCTTAATATAGTATAGTGTAGAAGGAAGAGCGAGCCTTAGCGAAGCGCCTAAAGACAAACTGTACTAATCGGGCGATTCCTTATTCGCAATACCTCCTTATAGAGTATATATAGATTTACAACTCAATACCTACTATAGATAGGGCTTAGCATATATAGAGGGGGTTCTATAGCATAGGAAGGCGCAACACATCGTAAATATTTTGAAATTAGTATCGTAAAAGTAAGATCTGTAGTCTATTCTAACTATACGGACAGTTTCGGCTTCGCGTTTGTTCTACGAATACCTATATTGCAATAGACAACAACTATCTTCTAGAACACTCTATCTATACGAGGAACCTTAGAAAGCAATGCTCTAATACCTCTAAGTGTCGCTTTGCCCGTATTTGCTATGCTTTACTTGTGCTCGCTACCTATCGGTACCTACCCTTAAAATAGCTATTTCGCTAATTTATCGAAACCTCGATACCTATACGGATACCTAGTAACTCAAAACTTCTCAGACACCTTTAAGACACATCCGCGATCGTGTTTAACGTTGTACGCTGCCGGATAATCTAGTATTTAGTGCCTCTATATCGCATCTAGTGTATTAGCTGCCCGATATATCCGCGATAGCGACACTCGAGCGCCGAGACCTACTGTTCTAAATAGTACGGACACCCGCTCCGCAGTCTTCGCTGCTTCTTAAAGTCGTATACACTACCGCTTAACAGACCCCGACTATTATATCTAATACTCGAAACCTAGTCTTCTAATATCTTCTATATCTACTATACTAACACTTCCGCTAATACTTCCGATAGTATATAATAGGCAACCGCAATACCTAACGCGCTCTCTAACCTCTCTACGCGCGATCGCGATAAGGCTAAGAAGGGCAGACTTAATATCGGCGATGCTAGCGCTAGCGCTAGAAATCGGCGTAAGAAGGAAGGCGATAAGTACTTCGTGCGCCTACCCGGTCGGCCTGTAATTAATCGAATAGAGCCTTAATAGACTATCGACCGCGAGCTAGAGATACTAGAACTTAACGAGGATAATAAAGCTAGTTAGGCGGCATACTTCGAATAGCGCTACGCTAATATAGACGAGTATAGCCTCGAGGAAGTATAGCTGCTTATATAGGATGCTAGTAGCAATTAATAGGCGATGCTATTCTATCGTCGCATTGTCGAGCATAGTCTGCGGCGTATATTAAAGCTAATGTATCCCTATCGCGAGCTATTACTAGAACCGACTAAGATACAGCTCGACTACGTCTATACTATTATCTTCGGGAGATAGGATATGTTGCTTTTAGCTCGTACTAGCGCTAGTAAAACGATTATCTTCTAGGCCTATACTATGCTTACTAGCTTTATTATATTACAGATCGTGCCGCTAACCCGCATCGCTAATAAGCAGAGCGAGGATATAGTGTAAGCTATCCGCTAGCTAGATCCGGATAAGTAGAATCTAATTAAGGTCTGCGTCCTTACTGCCTAGACTAAGGAGAAGGATCTAGGCATACTAGTAAACATTAAGGAAGGCCGATATTAGCATATTATCTGCAGTCCCGAGCAAGTAATAAGCGCTGATTTCTAGGAGGCCCTACGTAGTATTGCCGATCGCCTTAGCTTATAGGTATAGGATAAGGCGTATATGTATCTTAAGTAGAAGGACTTCCGCGGAGATTATAGTGTCCTTTACCTCCTTCGCTAGCTTATAATATAGGACACGACCATTCTCGCGTGCTCTACTATATTAACTAAGGAAACTAAGAAGTACCTCCTCGAGTATAGCCTCCGTCTATAGGGCAATAGCGCTTTCTAGACCTAGGTTATCTAGAGCACTATCGATCGCCCGGATACTAGATACATCTTGCAAGAAATCCCGAAGGGCTAGATAACAGGCTTCGATTACCTATACTTTGCGGTCTAGTATGCAATAGACAATAAGGGCTTAGCTATACTACAGAACATCTAGAAGACTATTATATTCATTAATAGTCGTAAGCAGATCGATAAGGCCCGAGTAACGATATGCTAGTAGCTCGTACTCTTAACTAATTACATTAACAAGAAGTCCCCGGCTAAGCAACACTCGCGGAAGTATACTTAGGATAGAGAGCTATTAGTACCTAGCGGAGACCGCACTATCTGTGTGCTCGGCATTATATCCTTCTATACGGCGTATATAGCTAATATCGATAAGGACAAGCGATATAAGGAGTTTAAGAAGCGAGAGTCTCAAATCCGCATCCTATTCGGCACTCTAGCAACTTCTACTAGGGTTAATGTACTAGATGTCGCCCTAGTAATCTAGATTAAGCTTCTAATTACTAAGGATATCGATAATCTAATATAGAAGTTTAGTCGAGCGGCTCGCATCCCTAGTATAGAAGCATTAGCAGTTATATTCGCGCTATACTAGCTCAATAATCTAGAAAAGCGTATAGTAGAGGGTTCTAAGTACCGCTCGATAATCCTACGATACCTAACAGCGCCTAGTGCTAATGCCGTTGTGCTCTATTAATTATAGGACTATATCCTAGTCCGACTATCCAACCTTCGATATACTACCGTTCCTAGTAAGGAGTTTAACGTTAATAAGGCTATCTTCGATACGTTTAGTTAGAAGGATAAAGGGGAAGATAAGGACACTATTGTAGCCGCTTAGTAGTAAGCAGTTACTATACTACCTCGTCCTTTTTAGTCTATAGGCAATCCTTTTAATAACGCTATCGCAAAAGCGATCGCTAAGAACGCTACTAAGAAGCCCTAGTCTAATAAGGAGATCGGCTAGCGCAATAATACCCTAGACATCTAGCTATAGTTATAGAACATGCGCTACTACCCTAACCTAGCGTATCGCCGTTGCTTTCGCAGTATAATCTTAGAGATCTATAGCGAATACGAGTGTATATATCCTGTCGACAAGGTCGTAGTAGGTACCGCCGATTGTTGTAGTATATACAATCTAGATCTTCTAAATCGGCTAGTCTAGGAGGGCTACACTGCTCTACTAGTGCTAAAGGTACTAACAGCCCCTGCTACTAGATTAACTTAGCACTACGCCCTATTATATCTCGAGACCTTTATCTCTAACATTGTAGAGTCAATCTTTCTAGATTAATACGACAATCGCCTATTTAGAGTAATCCTATCCGCATTTATAGTACCGGAGCCTACCCTATAGAATCTCTACAATGTCTTTAACTAGAAGTACGGCCGTACGGACAATACCTTCCGAAGCTACACTTCTTTTTACGGCTAGGATTACGACGCTCCTATTAAGGAAACAGATATCGAAGAGCGGGCTATAGAGTTCTATACGTAGTATTAAGCCGATAAAGCGAACAACTATCGAGAGATCCCTATAGAAGCGCTTCTCCTAGAGATAAACCGCATTATCTATAGTGTCTTTGCTAAATACGAGGTCTTCGCTATAGAGAAGAAGAAGAAGGAGGACGACAATAAGAAGGCAAAGGAGGCTGCTACTACGGCCGCCGGTGCCGCGCCTCGGCCTATACAACCTACCGCTTAGCCTACTAACTAATAGTAGCGCCGTAACTAGTTGTAGAAGAATACCTAGAATTCTGCTCGCTCTACTATCGAGGCTCGTAAGAAGATAGTAGCGAAGAACACTAGAGGTCGAGCTATATAGGATCTAGATTACGAGGAGACTACGCGTCGCCGAGTAGAAGGTAGTAGTAGCTAAGTAGGAGGTAGTAATAGTAGATCAAGCCGTCGCTTAGGTCGTACTCGTACGCTATCGGCTTAAGAGAGAGAGCGTAGGCGTAAGGCTAGCTAGTAGGAAGGTAACGATATAGAAGACTTGCTAATGTTTAGTATATAATATTCTGCGAGAGCATGCCTAGTTTAGCTGCTTCTGCGAGAGCTAGCGTATAATGCCTAGTTTAGCTGCTTCTACGAGAGCTAGCGCTAGAATTAGCGCTAGAATTGGAATTAGCGCTAGAATAGCGCTAGAATTGGCACTAGAATTAGCACTAGAAATAGCACTAGAATTGGCGCTAGAGATAGTACTAGAATTGGCGCTAGAGATAGTACTAGAATTGGCATTCAATAAGGTCCTTCCTTACTACCCTTCTATTATGTCCTTATAAGCTCGCTAAGTCCTTGTCCTATCCCCGGAAAAGTGAGCCGTAATACTACGCTCGATCGCAGGTTGTATACTATACTATCTTCTAGATCGGATAGGTTATATACTGTAATATTGGCGTGCAATGTGTGATGCCTAGTTTAGCTGCTTCTGCGAGAGCTAGCGTATAGTAGTGCCTAGTTTAGCTGCTTCTACGAGAGCTAGCGTATAATGCCTAGTTTAGCTGCTTCTACGAGAGCCGGCGTGTAATATAGGATGCCTAGTTAAGCTGCTTCTACGAGAGCTAGCGTGTAATGTATAGTGAAATGGCGCTAGAATTAGCAATAGAGATAGTGCTAGAGATAGCACTAGGATAGCACTAGATAGTACTAGAATTAGCATTTAATAAGGTCCTTCCTAAATACCCTTCTATTATGTCCTTGTAAGCTCGCTAAGTAGGCTCTTCTATCGTATCTTTTACGATAAGGGTTTGTAGATAGTCGTAGGTGTCGATAGTATGTAAGAGCTAGGCGAGAAGCGTAAATTCGAGGAAGCGACAAGGATGCCGAGTCCCGCTAAGACCCCGGATTTAGTATAGCAGAGCGCTTAATTAGTAGGATTAAACGTTATAGCTGCTTCCTTCCGCGCATTTACAATACCGACTTTTACGACTTTTACAACAGTATTACTAGTATAGCGAGATACGTCGATTTAGCGCGTTTCTAGCAAATAGCGCTAACAAAAGTGTCTAACACGATAACGACGGCCGCCTTAGGTACTAAGAACCGCCTCCGAAACCCGAGAAGTTACTAATACTAGCGAGAAGTTACTAGCGAGAAGTTACTAGCGAGAAGTTACTAGCGAGAAGTTACTAGCGAGAAGTTACTAGCGAGAAGTTACTAGCGAGAAGTTACTAGCGAGACTAGTACTAGCGAGACTAGCACTAGCGAGACTAGCACTAGCGAGACTAGCACTAGCGAGACTAGCACTAGCGAGACTAGCACTAGCGAGACTAGCACTAGCGAGACTAGCACTAGCGAGACTAGTACTATACTTATTGCACCGCATACTCTTACAGGCACTACAATATATACGGCAAGGATAGATACGCGAGGCGATAACGTATATCGAGCGTAAGCACTCTTCGAGAAGCTATAATAGCCCTCTTACGTTAACGCCCTCCTTTGCTTAAATCTTAGTTACGATCTACTAGAAGGACTAGCTACTATGCAAGACAGTATAGATAAGAGCAATTGCGTCTAGGGATCTGTTTAACTAGCGGCACTAAGCGGCTATAGAAGCATACGCCCCGAAATATACTAGAATTACATATAGCCTATTTGCTACGGGTACGCGTAATAAGTACAAGTACATATACGCGCATGCGCAGCAATTAGCGCATTCTATTACTAACTATAGCACGCATAACCGAAGACAAGGTATATAGGACGGGACTTATTAAGCGAAACATAACAGCCTATTCGCTAAAGCGATACCTATTAGTACCTAGACAATAATAGATGTAACGCGCCCTTAGTATTAGAGACACCGTAGAAGAGGTTATCGAGCGCGTTATAGTTGTATAGCAATGTCGATGCGCTTACTAGAACAAAAGGAGGCGTACTATAGTCGGATAACAGTCTTAATACGCTTTCGGATCGGTGCGTACTGTAGTCGAATAGCAGTCTTAATACGCAAAGGGCTGCAGTTGTATAGTAGAGACTAAGCGCCTTCGGGCTTAAGTATACTAGAGGCCCTTACGCAACGACTAAGGTTATTATAACTAATAGTCCTAACGAAGGCGTTACGCCGACTTAACTAGATATACGTATGTTATCCTGTAAAGAATCCGAACGTAGGAAGCCTGTAGCCGCTACTTAAGGTGTACCTTACTAAAGAGTTTTTACCGAGTTAGGCCTATAGCAATACTACGAACCTATCCTATCCACTTAGTAGGAGAGTCGCTATCGAGCCGCTACTTAAGGTATACCTTACTAAAGAGTTTTTACCGAGTTAGACCGTTAGCCGCATTATAGGTATACCTTACTAAAGAGTTTTTACCTCCGCTAATCTATCTAAGACCTCTACAGTTTGTACTGCGATGTTCTAACAATAACTATACTCTTTCGGTTAAATACGCAGTCGACGCCCGCTAAAGCTATAGTATACCTACTCGCTAGGAGAGTCGCCTTCGTAACGTCTTACGTCGACAAAGCCTATCGGAGACTAAAAGGACTAAACAAACCACCTACCGAGGAACCTTAACTAACTTAAGCGGTTCTATTAGTAGCAAGCCGCAGGACTAGTTAGGAGATAGTATTAATCGCTATAGAGCTACCTATATGCGACAAAGAGGTATCGATACTGTTATATACGCCGACAGCTAGTATATTGCTAGGGGTATTAGTGTGTTAGTATATATAGAAGAAGAAGAAGAAGAAGAAGTTAAACTAGGAAGCGTAGGTCTAAATTGGCGTATCGTAGGTAAGGTTTGCCTCTACTAATAGGATTGCGCTATTTAGCTACAATAGTAAGGCAATAATAATAGCTATACATTATCGCACTTTTAACGTAACGTAATAGCCGCCGACTGCTGCTAGTTAAATGCCTAAGGCTAGAATTGCTAGCGACTAGAGGCATAGGCAAGGACTTCGCATTAGGCTATAGCTAGTTTGAAAAGCTCTTCGGTACGACGAGGCACGTACTCTAGTCTACTAGGCGCGCACTCTAGTCTACTGCTACTACTTCGCTACTATACGATTAGTGTTTTAGTAGCAGACTAGACCGAAGGCCGAAGGAAGCAGAATGTATTCTTAATCTACTAATCTATACTCGCCGTCAATAGTTCTAATGCCTTCCTTTAGTATAGTGTCCTATGCGAATTCGTCCCTCCTACCTATATTTAAGGACCGCTAGTTAGATCTACTACATCTAGGTCTAAGTTAGCGAAGCCCTTAGCATCGACATATAGCTAGTATAGATTAGCAGTAGTATTATTAACGATTCCTACCTCGACTAGACCGCGCTAAGCACTGCTATTAATACGCTCTCTCGCATTAGCGCTATCGATGTCGTCGACACTATTAGCTACGGTATTAGGAGCGTTACGAGTTACGCTATTTAGTAGACGCTAATTAATGCTATTAAGCTACTCGCATATACTAGGGATTAGGCCTGTACTAATCTGCTAAATGTCGTCGGAGATAGGGCGTAGATCTATCGGTGTCTCGGTTAGATTATTAAAGTTAGCGTCGTAATCGTAAGGATCGGGCAATATAGCTCCCTCCTAGTACTTCTTAATCGCTCTAGCCTATATCTGCTTAGCGGTATCCTTCTCGGTATAGTACCTAGTGCTCTTTAGCCTAATGCCCTCGAACAAGCCGCGCACTGCCTACGATGCCTCTCGGTTCTGCGAGATTAGCTCTATTATAGTAGAGACATTATAAGTTGAGTTGCTACGAGCCTAGATATCGAGCTTGTAATCCTTATTGTATAGCTTAAGCATCTTATTAGTAGTAACACCCTTGCTATTGCCGAGATTAACGATAGCTAAATCTAGGATTGCCTCCTATAGGACAGTATTAGATATATTTAGTAGCTAAGACAGGTTAACTATCTTACGGCTATAGTTGAGCTATCGGGCACCGAAGAAGTTTGGAATTAGATGCTCGACTATACGGCGTAGGTGTCCGAGGTCTATCTTGCGGATAGCGATATATACGGTTAGGAAGTTCTTAATCTCCTATAGTAGTCGGGCTATCGTAGTATACGATAGATCCTCTATCTCGCTCTTAGCATTTAGCCTAGTCTAAGCAGCTTGCGTAAAGAGCTTAGTATAAATGGCCTCTATAATGTCGATATACTACGTAGGTGTAAGATAATCCTTAATTAGAGCCTTTACTGCCTCGATACGGTTTATACCTACGAATTAAGACGTACCGAAGTTGAATCCGAGCTGTTTATCGGCCTCCTAAAGGAACTGCATACTGATATATATGCGATATGCTACGAATACTACCTATCGAGCGATATAGTACTCTGCCTTAACACTACTAAAGCGGCGGATAGTCTAGTATTCGGCGATGTCCTTAAGAGTGTAAGCTAGATGCTTGCCTACCTTATTAGTGTCGTAGTAGGTTCGTAGAGGAGTATAGTAGGCATTTATCTCGATGTAGAAGAATGCTAGTATACCGACAATAAAGTCCTTCTTATCGTAGGAGCGCGTGCTCTTAACACTACCGAGCTTAATACTACGAATGCGATCGATAGTTATTTAGTCTCCGATAACGATAATAAGCTAATCCTAGAACGCCTTATTATCCGGATCGAGCTTTAAGAACTTCTCGAAGATGTCGTTATATACCTAGTAGGTATCTTCAATCGAGGCCTTATTATAGTCAGATACGGGCAAAGAGATTACAAGGGTCTTGCTATCCCTCTTGTTCTTAATCTAGATCGTACGCTATAGGAGTCGCTTAGTTAGACTACTACCGCGAGTACGATCGTCTGTATTAGGACCCTTAAACTCGTATTCCTCGAACAGCTACTAGAGCTTACTACCGGTAAGGAAACCTATAGCCTAGTCGATATAATATAACGAGGTCGCCTTCTTATACTTATCGCTACAGATCTTACGTAAGATAATCCGTAGATTCATCTTCTTATTAAGCTTTAGCATATACTTCTTTAGGCCCTTCTAGATAGCTTGATGCCTAGTAATATACGAGGTCGTTATATTGCGCTGCTTAGTATTGCTACTAGTCGTCTAGATAGCCTTCCGGTTCTCCTAGACACAGAAGTTGTCGTATACGATTACATATCTACCCTTAATAAACATCTTAACTGCCCGTTCTCGGTTAGTATAAGTAGTCTTCCTCGCTAGCCGCTATAGTATACGATAGGTAGGATAAAGACCTATCGCACTAAGGATATCGACGACTCGTCGCTTAATACTACTAGTATATAGGAATAGCCTAAAGGACTTACTAAACTAGGACGCCTTCTTTAATAAAATCGATCGAGTAACGATCTACGTAATCGTAGCGATACGCTTCTTCTAGCGGCTAAATTTGTCTCGGATACTAGGTTGATCTTCCTTAGCGATATCTTTAGCGGTATAGCGCTTATTAGGAAGCAAACCCTATAGGATACTATACTAAGTTAGCGCTATATCTTTAATAACTTTGTCTATCTTACTTAGCTTCTCTTATCTATCGATAGTAGAGTCCGGATCGTACTAGTTGAAGAATTTCTTACTAACGAGCCTCTTTAACTTAGAACGGAGCCTACGAGTACTTACGAGACCCTCGAATAAGAAGACATCGATAATCTTATCGATACGACGGCGCTATGTCTTTGTTCCTAGATCTCCTACCTGCATTAAGAGTAGCTTTAGCGTAGTAAGGTACTCGTGGTTTAGCAGGTCTATAATATTAGTATACTTCTACGGTAGAGTCTTTAGACTCTTACGCTTCTTCTTCTTCTTCTTAGCTACTAAACTAGCTAGAAACTAGCGCTTCCGAGCGGTGCTAGGGCGAGCAGCACCGACAATCTAAGGCTCGACATTATTATTATTATCTAAGAAGTCTCCTTTATCTTCTAGTCGAAAGAACTAGCCACCTTTAGCACTAGCGGCTTTAGCTTCGACCTTATTATCGCTTATCTTATTATCCTAATCCTTAGTCTCGTAATTATCTTTATCTGTTTCCTCCTCTTCTTCCTCGACAATAGGTAGCGCGACGTTAGCGCGTAGACCTACACGGCGCTCTTAGCGGGTTAGAACAACTAGAGCTAGCGCTGTCGGAAGGCCGTATTCTGCTGCTATATCTTTAAGCTAGTAGACCTACACGGCGCTCTTAGCGGGTTAGAACAACTAGAGCTAGCGCTGTCGGAAGGCCGTATTCTGCTGCTATATCTTTAAGCTAGTCTAATAGCAACGCTAAAAGCTCGCTCGTCTAGTAAGGGCTATATTCTACGAGGCTATGTTCTGCTACTATGTCTGCAAGCTAGTCTAATAGTAGCGCTAAGCCGAGCTCGCTCGTATCGAATGTATTATATTGCTATAGTAG